TAATAGTAACCATTTTGGAAAACTGGGGTGTTACATATGTTACTAAAAAATTATTTTTATCTACACAATAAATATAATATATGTTGGTATATTATTTAAAAGTGTAGGTATAGGTTATAGTGACACATAAAATATGTTGTTAAATCTCATTTAAAATTAACACTAAAATTGTATGTAGTTATATGTCAAATAGATATATACTTATATATATTGTATCTATAGTAACATTTTTTCTATGTCAATATATGTAACATTTCTTGTATAGTGAAATACTCTATAAAGAATTTGAGAATCTTTTGGCCTACATTTTATTTTTTGTTAAAATATATTTATCTTTTATTTTATTAAAAAACTTTAGTTTTATATCTTTTAAAAAATCAATTTGACCATTTAATTTTTAAATTTAAATTAATATTATTTTTAAATAATAATTATTTTAAGTTTTTGAGCATAATTTTAAATCTTTTATATATAGATTTTTTTAGCTTCTTAATTGCTTGAAAAGTTCGATCATGTTAATGATTTTTTTTTATAGTTCAAACAATAATTAGATTTCATAATTTTTATATAGTTGAATTTAATGAGACAAATTTTATAATTATTTAAAATTGTATCATAAAAATAAGACTAATCATTATTCTTTTTGTCCCACAATGATTATAGTTTAAAATTTTTACATGCAAATTAAAGATAATAATAAATGTAGTTTATTTCATACTCAAAAATATAATTTGAACATCGAATAACTTAATTAAGGAATATAAACCGATACCACTTGTGTCGATCAATGTTGGTAGAAATATATTAAACATATTACAATTTTTTTTATAAAAAAAAACTATTATGTAATATTATAGAATATATATATATACACATACATTATGGAGTTAGTCTCTTAAAGTAAATCTTTTATTAAAGGTTTAATACATCATTTGGTTCATGAACTTTTTCTTGAAGATTTTTAATTCTCTAACTTAAAAAATTTAATTAAATTCTTCATCTTTTTTTAGTTTTGTAATTTATTCTTTGAGTTAGAAATTCATTTACAATATGTGAAATTTCACAAAATATTCTTTAAATCCTCATACCTAAACAATCATATTAGATTATTGTTTTATGTCATAATCCATGTGTATCAGGTTTTAATTCTTGCCATTAAATTTTTTTACTATCCTAGAATTCTTATGATCAAAGAGATCATTAAATTTCTTTTACAAATAGAGATATTACAACTTGATACATATAGATGATACCATGAAATAGTAATCTGACTTAATTGTTTAGATATGAAAATATAATGAATATTTTGTAAAATTTAACGAATTATAAATAAATTTCTAATTCTAAGAACTAAATTAAAAAAAATCTAATTAACTTTTTAAATTTAAAGACTTAATTAAAAATCATAAAAAATTCAAGAACCAAATGTTATCTTAAACTTTTTATAATAAATACCAATGAAAAAAAAAATATAATACAATTAAAATAAAGTTTTATTTTATATTTTAAAATCTAAATTTAAATTTAACTCAATATTATCAAACTAACTTCTAAAGTTTTATTAGTATCGGATAGTATTACTCATATAGGGAGATATAGGCTAAGTGCACTTCCTGTATAATCTTAACAATTTTTAATAAAATTAATTTTTCCTTCTATAAAAAAACTTATAAAATTATATATATATATATATATATATATATATATATATATATTATTTTGATCTTATTTTCAATATTCTTTACTCATATATATCATAGTTGATTGTTGTTTCCTTTGGAGATGCTGAATGCCATCAATGAGGGCATACTTTAATCCACATGGAAAAATAGAGCTCTAACAACAACATAAACGAAACGAGGAAATATTTTCACTAAATCATTTAGAAATTATTGCACTTACTTGATATAGGCCAAACATGGGGAGTGTTTTTCAACTATCATATTTGAGAAAGTTCCAACGACAAGGACATGAAAAACAGGGTAATATAAAAGTAATAAATCCCTAGAGGCAGTAGTACCCGATGCAAGAGCTTCATGAACTGTCATGATCGTACGAGACAACGAAACTATAGACATCACTTGAGTAATTTATAAGGGCAAAATCACCAAGCAGAGGCTAAGATCATTATATGCACACCATGCAAAAATAGTGTAACAAGTGAGAAATTATTAGATACTTTAATGATCCCGATCAACTCTTTATATAATTTGTTTTTTAAATTATGAAAAGATAATAATACTTAATTACAAAATTTATCAATATTAAAATAATATTTGACCAATAATCTCAAGATTTCACTCCATGAATGTGAATTAATCTTGATCAACAGTTTTTAAACAAAATGCAAATCATATTCAAAAGAAAAATATAGAGATTAAATATGAATGATGCCGTAACTACCTAATCCCGGTATAAGAAAAGGCTAAATTGCAAATATTTTTCTTCATAAATTTTAGAAAGTAATGATCATCAAGAACAGAAAATGACTTCAAGATGAAATAAATGGCCAACAAACTATAATTAAATAAAAATACCTATGAACTGTTAGCACGTGTGACTTAATGAAAAACAACTAAAATTGCATATTTGGACGTTGCCATATCAATTAAAATACCCTTCACCATACATTCTGGTGTAGGGAAAACCAACATTAAATTCAGTGGGACCACTAACCAGTCTTGGTCACCAAGGCAATGCAATGCCAATGCCATCGTTCATGTTTCATCCACCACAAATACACATTCTTGGTTCAGAGAGGTCCAACACCTTCATTATTTCCATCATATCATTAAATGCAGCATAGTCCTTCCACCTAAGTTAACTAACCAACCTTCCAAGCATGTGAGCACCACCTTATCTTCTTCCTCTTCCCACAACTCTCTTTGTTTGAGTTGTGACACAATCATCGCTTATCAGCAATTCTATTTTGGTAGCAACAACTTCTTTGTTCACTAAAAATGGCTGCTGATGACTCCACCAAGAGAAACTCCAACGTACAGCTCCTTGAAGAGCTAGAGTCCCTGAGTGAATCCCTTAACCAATCACACACCTCAAACACAACTAGAAGAACAGCTTCATTAGCTCTACCAAGAGCCTCACCTCCTTTTGTCTCATCTGTTGAACTTGAAGATGACAATGACACTGCTAAAGTTAACAGAAAACAAAGCAACAAAACTCGGTCTCACCGCATGTCCTTGTCTGCATGGAGATCAAGGCAAAAGCATGAAGAAGCCAAGGCACCTTCAACTCAACCAGAAGACAAAAAGCTTGATGACACAGCAAATTCAGGTGACAAGAAAGGGATTTGGAAATGGAAGCCTATGAGGATTCTTTCTCATATTGGAATGCAAAAACTGAGTTGTTTGTTTTCTGTTGAAGTGGTTACTGCTCAGGGCCTTCCTTCATCCATGAATGGACTAAGGCTTTCTGTTTGTGTTAGAAAGAAAGAGACAAAAGATGGGAGTGTTCAGACAATGCCATCAAGGGTTGATAAAGGTGCTGCAGACTTTGAAGAGACCCTTTTCTTAAGGTGCCACGTTTATTGCAACCATGGTAGTGGAAGGCAGCTTAAGTTTGAGCCAAGACCATTCTGGATATACCTCGTTGCTGTTGATGCTAAAGAGCTTGGTTTTGGAAGAAGCAGTGTGGACTTGAGCCAGTTGATTCAAGAGTCCATTGACAAAAGCCATCAAGGCATGCGTGTGAGGCAGTGGGACATGAGCTTTGGCTTATCAGGGAAGGCAAGAGGAGGAGAACTAGTTCTGAAACTTAGCTTCCAAATCATGGAGAAAGAAGGAGGAGTTCAGATATATAGCCAGGAAGAGAATTTGAAGAAGTCCAACAGGTTCAGAAATCTCACATCCTCATTTGCTCGCAAATCCAAGTCATCATTCAGCTTGCCTAGTCCAAGAATAACAAGTAGAAGTGATGCTTGGACTCCTTCGCAGAGAAGGTTAGCAGAAGATATAGATGATTTGAATCTTGATGATGCACAACTAGTTCAGGATGCTCCTCCCTCTATTCAGAAACTTGATGGTGGCAAAGAGGTGGAAGATTTTGATCTTCCAGATTTTGAGGTTGTTGATAAAGGGGTTGAGGTTCAAGAGAAGAAAGAAGATGAAGCAGAAGAATCTAATGTGAAATCAGCTTCAAGTGAGGTTGTCAAGGAAATAGTGCATGATAAGTTGCACCTGATTAGATTAACTGAGCTTGATTCAATTGCCAAGCAGATAAAGGCTCTTGAGTCCATGATGGGAGAAAATAACAATACGTACACAAAAGGTGAGGAAATCGAGTCACTAAGATTGGATTCTGATGAAGAAATTGTAACAAGGGAGTTTCTTCACATGCTTGAGGATCAAAAGGCCAGAGGCTTCAAGATCAACCAATCTGAAATCCCCCCATTACAAATTGCTGAGGCAGAACTAGAATCTAAAGTGTATCTCCCGGATCTTGGCAAGGGCTTGGGGTGTGTGGTTCAAACAAGGGATGGTGGCTACTTGACATCTATGAATCCTTTAGATAATGCTATGGCTAGAAATGACACTCCAAAGCTAGCCATGCAGATGTCAAAGCCTTATGTGTTGGCGTCAAATCAGTCCCTAAATGGCTTAGTCATGTTTCAGAATTTGGCTAGCATTGGTCTTCATGAACTCAGCTCTCAAGTTTTCTCCATGATGCCCCTTGATGAACTGATAGGTAAAACTGCTGAACAGATTGCTTTTGAAGGCATTGCTTCAGCCATCATACAAGGAAGAAACAAAGAAGGAGCCAGTTCTAGTGCTGCTCGCATAGTTTCTGCCCTGAAAAGCATGGCCAGTGCAATGAGTTCAGGAAGACAGGAACGGATTTCAACAGGACTTTGGAATGTGGATGAAACCCCACTTACTGCAGAGAAAATTCTAGCCTTCACAATGCAGAAGATTGAGTCTATGTCAGTTGAAGCCTTGAAAATCCAAGCTGATATGGCAGAGGAAGAAGCCCCCTTTGATGTTTCTCCACACAGCACAAAGGAAGGGAACAAAGACAAGGACCTACTAGGTTCTGCTGTTTCACTTGAGGATTGGATCAGAGACCAAGGTTACAGTAACACAGCTGAAAGTTCTGAAGGTGAACCAATATCAAATATCACACTCATATTTGTTGTCCAACTGAGGGATCCAATGAGAAGGTTTGAAGCAGTTGGAGGTCCTGTGGTGGTGCTTATTCATGCAACAAGTGAAGAAGACACAAAGGGGAGTGATTACTACCAAGAGGAGGAGGAGAAAAGGTTCAAGGTAACAAGCATGCATGTGGGAGGTTTGAAGGTGAGGAGTGCCACTAATAGTTCATGGGACAGTGAGAAGAAAAGGCTAACTGCAATGCAGTGGTTGATTGAATATGGGTTGGGAAAGTCAGCGAAGAAAGGCAAACATGCATTGGTAAAAGGGCCAGACTCGTTGTGGAGCATTTCATCAAGAATCATGGCTGATATGTGGCTCAAAACCATGAGAAATCCTGATGTCAAACTTGTGAAGGAATAAGCACATCCAATCTCATGTTAATTACATAGAATAATCACCTTGTGTGTATTCAAAATCATTTTGTGTATTCACAATCATCAGTAGGGATTAGTTACCATTCTCGACAGGATTTTGTGTGTTCACGATCATCAGCAGTATACTATTCTCGACAGGAGAATTTTCGTACCATTACTGTGTAAACCATAAATAAAAATGCTAGGTAATTTTAGCAAGTTGTGATACTTGCACAATCTTGCATTCATGTCTCATGTAGCGCGTCCATCAAAATTTTTAGAGAAGGTTCACGAGGACTTGTTAGAGCTTGCAGGTTTATGGTTACAATAATTTGCAAAGGTCATAGTTAGTTAGCTGCTTTTTGTAGAACCAATAAAAACCTGGGACTTAGGAAATGTTACATACGCATACTAATTTTCTCACATTCCTCATTTCCAATCAATGATGACTATATTTTGTCTCTTCTCTTCTTCATCACAGTTGATTACGTGAGAAAATTTTGTGCATATATAACATTTCCACTCTCACTTATATATTAGACGTGAGATTAGATTCAAGTTGGAATAAATGAGATTAATATATGGACTCAGCAACTCTTGTTTATGATAAATGAAAGGTCTTGTAACTCCTCGTTTTATGTAATCCTTTTTCACGTGTTGATTTTTTGTTTAGTTACATTTCTGTTTTTAAAGGTATCACTATATTTTTTACGAAGATTTATTCAGTGAAAATAAGTTATACCATCTTAATAGATAATAAAAAAATCTATTTAAAAGTATTGTGTATTTGTGTGCTGCATTATACATGTGCCGGAACTATTAAAGAGTTTCCAAGTAAAATTATAGAGTAAAGCAACAAAATGTAGAATAAAACCACAAAATCATATGAAATTCATAGTAGTTTAAAAAACATTATGTTCAATAGAACAATATCTAATAAAACAATTCATCATCCACTAATAAATAAAACAATTCATCAAAACATTAAAAATACTATTGCAAAGGAGACTTTTTATATTGGTTAAAAATAAGTTTTTACATCGATTATAATTAAAACTTAACAACAACTAAAGAACAAAAACCAAAAGATATTTAGGAACATTTGTGATTAATTTAAATCTAATGCTCCACCTAGGTCATATTAATAATGTCTGAGGACATGTCACTTCCTAACACGAATGAACTTAGGAAAATGTAAAATTAAAAAAAAAAATAAAGGGAAAAGGATTGTAAGGGCCCAATAATTCATAAGCCCAATCATGAAATTTCTTCATAAACCCTCGAGCAAATTTATACATTTTGACCGTTCAGAAAAAGTGATTAGTGAAACTAAACGTTCTTTTTTTTTTTTTTTTGTTGACAGAAGTGAAATTAAATTGTCATGTAATGATTTACATAAGAAATTTTAAAGAATATATTGATGTTTCAACCTTAACATGTAAAAACAAGTCATATCTAAAGTCGTCATTGGAGAACTGTAGTTTCGGTCATTATCTATAAATTTGAAAAATGAGATCAAGACAGAAGAAATACGAAAATACATATCAGCTATCACCAAGCAACTGAAGAAAAAGTTGTCAATAATAGTTTTTGTATATTTTAATTTAATAACATTTTTTTTATATTATTATATAAAATTTTATGTTAAATTGTTAATTATATTTATAGAGAGTGATCTCAAATAAACATAATAAGTTAAAAAATTAAAATAATATGTAGAAGAGTGTGTTAACCCCATCTATTGGATGCTTAATTGCTGAAAATAACACACACATATACCAGAAATTCACAACCATATTAAGATATTTTTTAGTCAAAAAATAAAAACTAATTCCTAAATTTACTAAAATTCGTTTAAAATATTGACTTCTTTTAATGAATTATTTTTATAGATATCGATTATAGATTAAATTTTTGATCACATGTTAAGAGAGGGGATTGTCTATTAATCATAGTATATACTTTGTTGCTACAAGTTATTATATAATAAACACATGAGGAGGGATATTGAATTGAATTCAATCTATGGAGCTTCGAGTGGCATCAGCAACAATAAACCCAACTTGATAGGGATGATCTTTGGTCAAGACCAAACGCCTTCCCCCGACATCATCGTACCTCCCAATATCAAAACAAGTACTAGCCGAGGCACTCATGGTGGGACAAAACAGAAGCTTATATGATGCATCGAATGCTTGAATGTTAAAGCTTCCAGTTATGATCTTCTTCCCTGGATGGTCTTTTGCACCACCAATACCCACCCATTTCAAAGGGAAATCATCAACAACCGCCACCCAGTTGGAAGATGTAGCACACTGAGGCTTCTCTTCAGATGCAATTTCTAATGGTAGCCCTATGAAGATGAAACCAGTATTTTTTTTGTGGTACGTGGAATTTCACTGGCAAGCCCTTCACAATCTCACAAGTAGAAGAGTAACTGGCATGTTGAGTTGCCAGTTTTACCTAGTCCTACTCCACCACCTGTTGGGCCAAAGATGCCTGGCACAATATAGTATTTGCGAGCAGCAATAAGGGGTTTTCCATATCTGTCTAGGACTTGTTCAGCACCTTGTGAGAAGGATAATAGAAGGTTGGTGGAGAAGGCAAAGAGGAGGAAAGAGAGGGTGAGTAACAGTTCAGGCTTTCATAGCCAGCTTGACTTATGATGGTTGTGTGTTTTGGTGGCTCAATCTCTTTTTGTAGAAGTTTTCTTAGGACTCTTTTGTGGATCTATATGAAATCATTAATGTTATTAGACAAACTTTTCATTTTTTTTTTCAACTTATCAATATTAAATATTAAATTAATTTTGATGTATTTTTGTGCATTTTAATTTAATAATCTATTAATGGAAGAAGTTTTGCAACAACTTCCTTTCCTCCAAAATTGTCAACTCCCCTTCTCTCCAAAATTAATTTCCTCTAACAAAATCAAATATAAATATAATTATATAAAAGTAAATCAATTTTTATAAAAAAAAAATAGTATAATATCACTTCTAATAAGTACTAAATTTTACAAATATTATATCAAAATAAATAAGGTACACCTTGTTAGCATGTTACAACTGTCGGTGACTCTAAGGTACATCTTGTTAGCATGTTACAACTGTCGGTGACTCTAAGGTACATCTTGTTAGCATGTTACAACTGTCGGTGACTCTAAGGTACACCTTGTTAGCATGTTACAACTGTCGGTGACTCTAAGGTACACCTTGTTAGCATCACTGGTATGCGGCCTCAGCGGCACACCTGGAGTAATATATGCATATGATGCATGTTACACATTCATTATTTCATTTACTCAACATTTGACGTATTACAGAATTTCATTTAGTACATCATGTCATCATTTTTCATAGTCTCATAATCATAGCTTGTCTCAATAGTCCATTCTTATGTCTCATGTCATTTGTGCATATTTCACATGGTCATGTCATAAATACTCCTCGTAAGGTCTGTGACACCCTCTACCCCAACATTAATATGATTATATATAGATATCATAGGAGTACATGAGAGTGAGATTGGTGTTGTTTAATCTCAACAGCTCTATATTTTGATAAATTTCTATTCTATCCTTACTTTATGTGTTTTCTAGTTACTAAAGATATTATTTCTACTTGTAGCAATATGATATTGTCTTGTATAAATTTATCCTTATCAAGTTTTATTTTTAATTTTTTTTTACTAAAATCTTACAAGTTCTTGATGTTCGACAACCCTCCATTTATTATATTACAAAGATTGGTGTGCTTGTCCTATAAAAATCTTGACAATATATATATTGTCGCATGTATATCTAGGAACTGTTGCATATTAATTTTAAATAATTAGATTTATATTTTTCGCTACTTAATTACTCTGCTGTAAAGTATAGTGAATTATTGGATCATTACAATTACTATGAACATATATGAGTAGTCTCCATTTTTCTTAGATTGGAGCTTAACCCTTGAGAATCTTGAAATTTTATGAATTATTCAGTTGTTTATTCTTGCTCTTCTCTTGATTTGAATTCTTTACAATTTACATATGTGAAACAATTAAATATTACTTTTCATAATTTTAGATATTTAGGGAGGTACTAAGAAATAAACATAAATATTGAAACCTAAAATTAGACTTAAGCTTTAAATCTCAAGAGTAAAATTAATTTTTTGAGACTTAACTAAATTAACATAAATTTTAAAGGGTTTAATTGAACATAACTATTACAAGAGTAAGAGTCAATTCAATTAAATATATCTTGATATCTTGAGAGGGAACAAAAAATATCTTGGATTAATTTACCTTCTAATAAAACGGAAAAATATTGAATAAATCGTTTGAATAAATAAGAATTTATTGAGCAAATCTTTAATATTAGAAATTTCTTTTATAATAAACTACTTTAAAAATCTCTTTTACTCTTATTTTTTATTTCTTAATTTAATTTTTGATTGATCTTAATTTGACTCTCAAATTAATCTTTAAGTACTTTTAAATGTCATTTGTTTAATTTAACTAAATATTAATAGAGTTAATCACTTATACACTGTCAGTGTAAAATTTTTTTATACTGACAACCAATCATACTTTTAATAGTGTCATGTCATTTGCTTATTTAGTCAAATAAAAATAAAATAAAATAAAATAATTTAGAAAATATGATTTGTTGGCAGTGTAAAAAACTTTACACTGACAATTTATGAATAATTAACTCATATTAATAATTATAAAGTCAGACACGTATTCTATTAATAGATAGACCTTTCTTTCTCTTCGTTTCAGGTTGATGGATCTTCTTAATTGAAAGATCCCCTATATCGATAATATTCATTCTAGTTGACCGAGTCTAATTCGAATTGTTTTGTTCCGACAAGAGGCAGTTTGTATATATATATATATATATATATATATAATATGATAAGTATCAAATTTGTGTAATTAGTTTAATCAATTTTGACACTTATCTAGTTATTTTAGTATAAAATTTATGAGTAAAATCCTAAGCTTGTAAATAGAATCAAAAGGATATGAAGTAAGACTTTTTGTTGAGAGTTGATGAAAGTTTTTTATTAATTTTTGAGGTGTTTTTGTTTTGCAGGTGTAGAAAAGATGAAGGTTGCAGCTTAGACCTAAACCGCTCAACGGTTGCAAAAAGGTTGAGCAATTTTGAGGCCAAGAAGCATGGAGGAGAAAGCCTTAAACCGCTCAACAATTGAAAAAAGAGTGAGCGGTTTAGGGTCTGAGAGGAAAATTTTTTGGAGCACCCAAGCACTCAGTCATTGGACCAAGGGCTCAACCATTACATGTTATTTCACCCTAAAGAGCTCTTAGGAACTCAGTCATCATTTACCCTCTCTCTCTTTCTTACTCTATTTTATTTTGGCCAACATTTAAAAAGGAAAAGAGGGGGAGAAAAAGAGGGGAGGAAGAAAAACAAGGTATGAGCATAGTAGAGCTTGAAAGAGGACTAGGAACCAACTATTAACAAGGGTTCTTTAGTTTTTCCTTTATTCTTCTTTTCATCTTCCATGTACCTTGAATTGGTTCCCATCATTATAAGGGGTTAATCTTTTCTTTTTGTTGAGATTAAATGTAGCCATCAAACTCTATGTATTCCTTTTTATTTTCATATATATGATGTTCTATCCTTCAATATCAATGAGTTTGATTCTATTCTTAATGTTTGGATGATTTGGTCACTCATCTTTAATATTTAGTTTGGATTTCAGTTGGAAAACATTTTCTGAACTTAGTTCTGAATCAACTCACCTAACAACCTCAGACTAGGAATAGATTTGAAACTATTAGTTGAAAAATTTCTCATATTTAATGCAAGGATTCTAACTTGATAACACGAGGAATCAGTTGTTAAGTTGTAGTCTTTAGAATTTCTAAATCAAGGAATTGGTTGAGTGGATTTAGTGAATTCAAGGGTATTGGGTAATGGAGATTATATATAGATATCATAGGAGTACATGAGAGTGAGATTGGTGTTGTTTAATCTCAACAGCTCTATATTTTGATAAATTTCTATTCTATCCTTACTTTATGTGTTTTCTAGTTACTAAAGATATTATTTCTACTTGTAGCAATATGATATTGTCTTGTATAAATTTATCCTTATCAAGTTTTATTTTATATTTCAATATCAACACAATTTATGAGAGAATTATCATTTTTGTGGTAGAAACAAGGTTCTTTGCTCTATGCAATTGCAATAATTATATCAAGTAATGTTAGAATAGTGGATTAAGCCTAACTCAACCCTACAAAACCGGTTTGTAAGGTGAGAGTTGCTTTCCACTTATATACTATTCAATTGCCTAATCTGTAGTCGATGTGGGACTTGGGTTTTTCCCAATACACCTCCTCACATCCAGCACTATTGGGCTTGATACGTGGATAAATGGTGGGTGACCCTTTTTAATGATCTAGGATTGGCGGGACTTGGGTTTTTTCCAATACACCCCCTCACGCCTATGAGGCATGCATCAATGGTGGGTGACCCATTTTTAAAGTGGATCTAAATGGCTTTTGTAACACCCCAATTTTCAAAAAGGTTATTATTATTATTATTATTATTATTATTAGATGGTATTTGGTCATAATTATTTTAATAATTATAGAGGAATATTATTTTGTACGTTTTAAATAATTATTATTTTGGACAATTATTTTGTACGTATTAAATAAGTATTTTTATTAGCATTTTTAAATAAATATTTATATGTTTTAAGAGAAGGTTGATTTTATATGATATTTTGTTATTGAAATTATATTATTATATTTAGGGTCAGAAATATATTATTATTATAGAGAAAAAA